GAATCAGATCCGATGCGAACTTAATGTCGTCTCCGTACATGGACTTGTCGATGCTGATCATCATGTACATGGCTCCATGAGGTTGCAGACAGTGTACTCCATCCAGTCCTTTCAGTAGTTTACTTACAATATTGGCATTTTTTGAGATCACTTGACGATTGTATTCGAAGTACTCTTCAGGAGTTTCTGCCAAAATCTTAGGTAGCGCCCCTTGGACGAGAGCACATGGACCGACGATCTTTTGCGACAGGGCGACCAATCCTTTTCGAACTTCGCTTAATACCCGGTAACGGTCATGAACGATGAGCCATCCCAGACGCCATCCGGGTACCATCCAACGTTTTGCGATGCCATCACATGTTATGATTGGTACCTATAAAGAATTCATGTTGTTATGGGTATCTATGACGGTCACATTTGGGAGTTCACAAGTTCCCCCGACACTACTTATCAATGTTTTCAATGACAGGAAGTCGGTAACATCATGCTGACGCTTAGTGGGTCTGATAACAACGTTGGCTGGCTACGAACGTGCGCTTTGTGATAAGTGTACCGACCGACCTTAGGAGAGAGCGATGCAATTGGGTGAAACATCGCACCGTCGTAGGTGAGATCCCCGTAGATTTCGTCGGCGATGATCACGAGGTGGTAACGATATGCCAACTGAAACCGGTAGATGGTTATCCTAATCAGTTAATCTAATAATCATTAACACTTTGGGTCGAAAACCTACCGCCAGGATGTCCTCCAGATGTTCTTTGGGGAATACGACACCCGTAGGGTTGCCAGGATTGTTGATGACTAGGGCGCGTGTTCGTTCATCAATCATCGATTCAAGGTGCTCCAAATCGATCAGCCCCCCATTTTTCATGTCCAGTTTATATGCTCGGTCCTGAAACGAAATTTTGATGAGTCGTACTGTAGGAAATTCCATCACTTCAATTCGAACCTACCTCTACTCCATGAGGTCTGCAAAGCGTAGAATACAGTGGGAAGCCAGGATGAGGTATCAGAATATTGTCCCCAGGGTTGGCCAGACCTTCAATGGCCATCTGTATGGCATGGGAGCATCCGCTAGCAAGAATCACATCATCAGCTGTTATAGGTGCCGCATTTGTTGTATATCGTTGGGCGACAGCCATTCGGGCAGCCAGTTCTCCAACAGCAGGACCGTACCCATTATGCCTGAAATAAGACCCTCTTATTGATAGGTCTGGTTACGGTGCCTCTAGTCATAGGTAGAGAAACACAACGAACTTTTCAGAAAGTAGAGCCTCTTGTACAGCTTCGACAGCGATCGGGCATGGCGGAAGCCGTCCAGTTAGGCTTGGGTCGCCAAGGTGCATCTTTATTGGTGTCTTATCTGGGTTCGGTGCTACCGATACTGCATCAGCGATTCTTCTAATCGGATTGATCGTGTTCGCAGCGTGAACTGACTGAGGTAACGGAACCCATTCCATTTTACCACGACGACTTCTCTTCTAGAACGAAGGCCAAATTAAAATTGAATAGAGAATTGGCTGATGATCCTTACCTGATCGCGAAGGATCTGTTCGTGTTGATGAAGCTTCGAGATGATTTTAGCTTTGGTAAGTTGAGTGGGCAGTGTGGGAACATTGTCAGTTGCTTCGGGATACATTGTCACTCTGAAACAAACCAGTATTTAAGTAAAATTACCTAGCAACAAGTAAGTAAGGCAGATAATTGCGGAGGTATGGGCGGCAAATGCTAGAAATAGTCATCACGGCTGCTAAACAGAGCAAGAGTAGTTCGTTTTGAGCGATGATCTGAGAATGGTGCGCCCGTTTGCGCTTTATGGCCATACACACTCTAGCCCCGCCCATCTGGTTACGTTTCAACGCCAGCAAGACCACGTGGGGTTCCTGGCGACGAAATGGCGAACACGTCACCGTATACCGGTTTTTTATGGGGAAGTATTTAGCACATGAATGGTTCGAGACTGTCAGCTACAGACTCTTGCCGGCCAATCACTAATTCGAGGGAAACTGTATGATCGAACTCGATCGGGAGGACCATGACATTCCCCGCATAGGTATACCCACCGAATGACTCATCAATAGCAGAGGTTACGTTGGGAGGGCGTTCGAGAATTTCGCGTGATACGAATGTTATGATACGGTTCATTCCAACGACAAGGCGAATAGACCAAAGAACATCAACAGAACGGAAAAAACCGGCTTCAATTAAGGCAACGGTAAAGAATTGGTCCAGCAACGTCAGAGCACAGGTGGTCTCTGGGAGAATACACAGCCACGGATGGATCGTAGGTCGAATTTTACCCAGAAAATGCGGGCGCTGCACCTTTTCGGGGTAGGTCATTTGAATCCACAAACATGATAGATGATAGTGAAGCCCAGTATTCTAAGCTTTTACAACTACAGCTGTATTACTGGTCCTGAATAGCAGTTACTGGCTCATGGGAAGTAAATACCCGACTGCAAGGCAACTGGTGCAGTCGTTAATGAGCTGGTTCTGTGGTGGGAACACCCAAGCCTGATCGTTGTTGTCATGATGCTATGCAAAATACAGTCTACAGTCAACTAAAGTGCAGCTTGCCGTCTATTGAAATGTCTGGGGATTCGCCAAGAATATCTTTAAAAGGCCGAAGGAACAACAGCATCATTTCGTTTATACTTGAGGAACGAAAACGCTTTTGTAAGGATAATTATTTTCAGCAACTGTTTTTGCTCAAAATTTAAGATCCATTCTGATCAGGCAGACCATTTTCCTCATCCATGGATGAACTGAATCAGGCAGAAGCACCGTTCAGCTCGCCTTTTGATGTTCTAGCATGAACTCCTACCTCAAATGCTGCTGTGTTTTCGAATGGATACTGAATGCGTGGCGTACCCTAGGAGGATATGTCGAAGCCTAGTTCTCTTTTTCGGTCGTATCCTTGCACTGACAGTTGCAATTTGAAGAGTCTCTGTTACTAAGGTCCCTTTGTCCCTGAAGGTCCCCATGCCTTTAACAACAAGCCCTCCTTACCAAGCTAAAGATGGCACGGGCCCGTTAGAGAGACTGAGCCATTGAGGTCTATGATCACTATGTATGGCTCTTCAATTTAATACAATTAATTTAGCAACTTGTGTTCATGCCGTCTAATTGGTAAACTTTCACCTCGTCTCTTAAAAGAGCCCTAACAGGGTGGTTTCCGGAAGTCACACTCATATGCCATCAAAAAGGGGAGAATGTAGGTACTATGGCCAATTCTCATCAATTTATGAAAAGGGTAGTCTACTACTTAGAGTTAACGCATAGGCAGGGGGAGCTAGAATCCTGACATCCGGCCTGCTCCCTCACACTGATCTTTGGTGGCGGTTCGTATGACCTGAGTACCGAATCAGTCTAGTGGACACGCGGGAACAAGCGTCGTCTCTATCGTCTGCCTTATCATTCTCTATGGTTGCAGCAGCAACGAAATGGTCGGCGTTGTCCTGGCTCTAGGGTGGCCTGTCGAGCACTTCCTTCGCCCAATCATGATATTACGCGAATGGCAAGATAATGGGTCTAGATGGTGAACTTTCAGGCGAAAATTCATGCAAGCGTTCCCTGTACTCCGCAGAAGTCCACAGAAAGGAAGTAGTTTGTAGTGGACTAGTTTACAAAGCTGAAAGAAGTGGAAGTCTTCGTGGCGTGACCCCGAAAAATCCTAACGATGCCATGCTCTAGAAGTACCAAGTCCAGAAGAAAAAAATGCCTCAGTGTGACCTCGACCAGTTGTATTTTTGTATTCACCCTCGCATCTAACTTCCATTCTGGATCGTAACTGCGATCGAATGTCTATTTAACCCATGCAATGCTTTTTGGGAGCCAAACCTCCCCAAATAAGTGTTTCCGTTGTCCCAGATGTATTTAATGGAAATTAGTTGTAATTATAGGGAAGATGGATTCACTGTCTCTGGACCTGTACCCGTGGTAGCAATCCACGTCGGCACCTTCCTTGCTTTGGAGATGTAATTATGATTCAAAACTGGTTAAAAATAGAGGTCACTGTAGCTCTTAATTTTTGAGTCAAAAGGTACATTTCGGGGATTCACTCAAGTTTGAGTCAGCTATTTGTTATGTTGCTGCTTGCTGACGCTAAATGACGTACCATATCAAAGGCTTGTTTGCTGGAAATCTAAAAATAAAATTGTTCGTCAATAACATATTGTCAGACGAAGAATCATTTGGTCGTAGAGAAATCGAGAACTATTCGTCTTCACTGAGAGCGACGACTGATAACTGTAGAGACCGATTTGGGTTCTACTGGCTATGAAAAAGTTGAGCGAAGCTGAAAGCTGGAAGGTACAGTCCTGTCACCGATTACTCATCACTTCCATTGAGGGTAGTAGGACATAAATGGCCCTCTTCGACTTACATAGTATGTTACGGAATCAGTTAAGGCATTGTACAAGCCAGTGATTTTTTCCTCCCAGCGAGTCTTGTGTCAAGTATTTGACCAGGAAGCATGGATTGCCCGATTGTACTGGGATGGGTCTATGTGGAACATAACTTTGTGAACAACACGGAAGTAAGCTAATAGCATGCGATCTCTAGCTAATCTAGGTGAGCGGTTCTTCGGAGACTGATTCCTTGGGAAAGTGCAGAATGCGCTCTCTTCGCCAATTGCAAATTTTGTACACAAAAACCGATGAACTTTAACGTGATGATTTCGTTGACATCACTTTGTAGTCCTTTTGACGGTGAAAAACAGCCTGACAACAACCCGATCGCATCGCGATGAGACCATGAAGCGGAATGTCACAGAAATGATTTCGATGTCTCCCACTACCTTATTTTCCGATTGTCTCAGAAGTATGCTTATTTGAAAGACTTCATTTTCTAGGATAAAAGGTCAGACCGGTGCTGGAGAATGGGCTGATAGGGGAAGTATCTGCTAGACATTGAGTTAGTATGGAACTATTTTCAGGAAAAAATAAAAAAAACTAGGATCAGTTAATTGACATAATCAATGGATACGGTAACCTTTTAACTGTCTTTGTCTCTTTCTCCAACTTCCATACGGCAGGACGGATTCCGTTGTATGATGGAGGTTGGATATGAAGATCAATAATGGAGTGAAAGGATTCGGAGACAGTTACTCTAATAGGCTGTAGCTTCTTCGAGCATTTGGACAGCATTTGTCCAGCCAAAGTGATCAAAGTGTAAAAAACCAGCAAAAATTAAAAATGTGTTCCCAATTTATTCCATATTTGATTATTAGGGCTTCATTTGAATAGATAAACCTGTAAGTGATTTTAGTTTTGTTATGTATAGCGTTTGATGGATGTTGGCCTAGGCTTGCCAAGCCTTCATCTCTCCGGGGTCAGCTAGTTGGCACGGGACTTCGTCTGGGAGGAAAAAAGCACTGGCTTGCATATCGGCTGGAATTGTTAGCCACTGTATAGGCCACATACGCATTCAATACGCCACTACGATTCTGAATGGAAGTCGAATGTGGGGCGCATCTCTCAGTAGGGAATACTCAACGCCCCAAGACTTTATTTTTTATCCCCTTTGGGTATGATTTGATGATTTTTTTTTGTTTTCTTGTTTTTCTTCCATTTTCCACAGAAAAAAATAACAAATATAACGTATAGCTTTATAGATATACTGCCGAAAATCGTTCACGACTAGCAATTACCATTACTAGGTCTGAAATTTATTTGCTTTTGGAGCGTAACTGAAGTGTTACGTTCATTCGGGCGGTTCTCGTCGGCCTGACTTCAAGTCAACGGTGGCTGAGTTACCTTGCTTGAAAAATGTAAAGGTCCTTTCTCCAGACACTGATAATAGGAAAAAGGTAACCTTTCAAGGACCTCATTAAGCTTTGACGACACTTTTATTGCCTCCATCAATGGATAAAGGCTCAATGCAATCTACAGTCATCATAAATTGTTCTTCTTCATGTATCATTTTTATTTTCCTCCATATTCCCGCAGAATTCGACCTTTAGCAGTAGTCTGTTAGCACTTTGTTCACTGCACTTTTGGTTGTAAGTTCATAGGGATCCCCATCTCCTGGAAAGAACTTCGATCCGCAAGCGAGTCGTAGTCATCAGCCCATAAAAGTCCAGGTTTATTAGCTGGCGATGGATCTTGCATGCAGAGATCCATCAAGATTATAAAAAATTGAATGACTCGAACTTCTTAGACTACTCTTAAGGGAACGGTTGTTTTGAGATACTTTACTAAAAACCGGCAGCAGTTTCAGCCCACCAGTTCATCTCCTTCCTTTACTAGTTCGGGAAAATGATGGTCGGGACGGTAGGTGATCATAACACAGTAGTCATCACAACAGAAAAAAGCAGAATGGAAAAAAGTGGAAGTAAGCCTATCTTGGTTGGTTGCGGGACGCTCCTGAACTCGACCGTCGTTTTAAGGCTTGGTGATGGAAAATTACGAGCTCGAGTCTAGTCCCAGATAGTGGTTCTCTCTATCTCAACTAGTAACCTAGTGATGTTCGTTCCGTACATTTCATTGATATTGGTTCGGCATAAGGGTCAGAAAGGAGTAGACGCAGAGCCAGACAAAATTCCTCGGGCTCGCTGACCGCTGATTATAGCCAGACCTTCCCACCTACAAAGGATCAACTTATGCCTTTCTGGGTTGTTGATAGATCCCTAAAATGCTTACT